ACGATAACTGGTCTGGAGAGAGAGTTCTGGCACAGCGCTGCCCTACCTCCACCATCTTTCCTCAATTATCACCCGAGATCCTTCCTGCTCCAAAGCTGGGAGTCTCTGAAACATGGAGTGACATGCCTGCCTCTCTATACAGCTGCCACATCCTCTCCATCTCAGCCATGCTCAGTCTCTTTTAGTGGGGCTGCTGCTGGGATTCAGGGCTGTAGCTCAGTTGTAGAGCCTCCCTTAGCATGCAGAAGGTCCTGGGTTCAACTGCTGGCATCTCCAGATAGGGCTGGGAGAGACCATGGAGAGCCACTGCCAGTGAATGTAGACAATAAGAGATAGATGGACCAACGGCCTCAGTATAATAAAGCTTCTTATTTCCCCTGGATGCTTGATCTGCCACACTGAACTTCCAATGTAGGAGGCCAACAGAATGAGTATTGCTAATCTGCTCTACTAGTCAATTGCAGCACAAGCCTACACGTTTTCTCAGAAACCCCAGAGTTGAACATTCATCCCCTTCGCACATGTTCTTAGGATTGCTGCCTGTTCACTGCTGAGCAGGCTGATTTCCTTACCCTGGTTGTAGCTCAGTGAGAGGTCCAGAAGAATGGCAAGGAGAAGGGTCCTCAGCATTCTGGTTCTGCTCTGTCCCATTGCGTGTGCGCCTGACTGCAGGAAGATTGCAGAGGAAATGGATGAAGAATGATTGCAGCCCAGCCTGGGTTAATGTTGAACCAGGATGAAGAAACAGGAACCAGGTCACAGTATGTCAGGGACAGTAAGTTTGAAGATCTCACTATCTCACCCATCCTGGTTTTCCTCTCCCTCCCTTGCATTTTTGCTTTCAGGTGCCTTGGTGGCACAAGCAACCAATGGAATAAGAACAATTCCATCCACACATTTAGATTGTTTGTGGTCTCAGAACACCAAATAAACATGGACTGACATTAGGAAACAATATGCACGTCTTATTATTACGTCATTATTTCATAAAGCAGAGGACATTTGGCTATCCTGGCTTAAAATAAGGGAACTGCCATTTGTTTAGAAAATCCTCCTGTTGCAGATATTTAATCCAGATGCCAAAAGGTCTATTCCCTGTCTTTACTCTTCTAGAATACATTGAGAGACTGAATTTCTTCTCCCTTCCACAATTTATAATTCTTTGATTCTTGGATGTCTCTCAGCAAAAATTCAATGAGATCCCCATGACTTCTTTCTGAATGCCCCAAGAGATGTGCTTGATTATATGTGTGTTGGAAAGGAGTCCAAGAAGTCAGCACAGATGGAAGATACCAAGGAGTCAATTCATTAAATATTTGCATCCTGTTTCTGTTCATTTGTATCTTTTAAATTTTCCCCGTTTAATTGTGGTTTGGACATAAATGAATTTAAAACAAATATTTGGTATATTGACCAGCCACTTTTAATGGGTAAATGTAATTTTCAAACAGATGCATGTCATAAACTCTTCAAGATTGTAGTGCAAGTCCTGTAAGGTGAATACAGATGAATAATTATTGTATTCACTGAACACGATATTCGATACTCATTGAATACAATATACAAAATTGAATACAAAAACTTCATTGGGTTCAAATGGGTATGGAAAGGCAGCTAAACTCAAAGGCCCAGAGCACCTTTCAAATGAAGAAAGGCTTGAGAACCTTGGGTTTTATTTTATGAAGGAACACAGAAGTTTGTAAAATCATGATAGCTTGGAGCGAGCAGCTAGAGCGAAATGTCTTCTGTTTTCATAACACTTATGTACACTCTGTGTAGCTGACTGCGACTAAGTCCAGGACTTAAAAAGGAAGCACTTCTTCACACATAATGTAAGACAATAAGATGTGGGGATAGTCACTAGCAGCTTGGCAACTTCTTAAAAGGATTAGGCAAATTAATAAAGGCAAGGTTAATCAAAGTCTATTTTAGTTAAACGCAGTGCTATTTTTTTGAGAAAAAGAGGTGCCGGAACTCACCATGAAAGCCTCCCTCATTCTCTGAGTATGGCAAAGGCACCCACCTGAAAGGTGCCAGAACTAAGTTCGAGTGAGTTCCCCCTGAAAATAGCCCTGGCTAAATGGAACCTCCATTTTCAGGGGCAGCGCAGCTCTGACTATCAGATGAACAAAACACCACAGAGTGACTACTGCCTTGCTTATGAGCTTCTAGAGACATCTGACTGGCTACTAGAAACAGAATGCTGGACTTGATAAATCCAGCAAAGCAATTCTTATCTTCAAATTTATTGAGATGAGTCTCACTGATAAAATAATTAAATTAGGAGCCAGTACAGTTAGATCTTGAAATTCTTAGTAGTAGCCTAAGGCCATAATCTGAGCTATATACTCTTGATCAAAAGAAATTAGCAACATCAAATTCATCACTTGGAATTTAGGTCTTTGGAGATTCCAAATTAGTCCACCGTTTAGTAAAACAGGTCCCTACCCCGTCCTCATCTGAGACAAACTGTAAGTGTAGGAGGAGCTTAGAGAACTATCAATCTCAGCCCCCTTTCTTCTCTTGCTCTTCTCTGTCTCTCTTCTGTAATGGTCTTCTAGTCAGTATTTGTTATCTCCATCGTACACAGGTAAATATTAGCATTAGGGTAGCTGGGAAGTGACTCTTTGGCCACTTGTACAAAGAGCAATTGCACAGTCCCCACCTCCAACAGATTGCAGAGTTTGAAGAACACAGAGTCTCTTTCTAACACACGATAAAGCAGAGAGATTTGAGAAATGCCCAGTTCTGGGTCTAGCTTACTGGGATATTTAGGCAGAGCCTGAGTTCAACCACAGGAGAACATCCAGACAAAGAGTTCTGGCCCATGTATGAAGGGAAACGTTTGAAGAACATTCACAAGCTGTCAAGACTACAACACTGCTTCCTGTAACATCTTCTCAAACCTGAACCTTTGTGAAGGCTGAGATCAGACTAGTAGCCCTCGTTAGTTCAGCATTTCTAACTTCCTGAACAACTCCCCTTTTCACCTTATAACATCTGCTACAATCTCTTTCCCATCCCTACATACAGTGTTACCTCGGGTTACAAACGCTTCAGGTTACAGACTCCGCTAACCCAGAAATATTACCTCTGGTTAAGAACTTTGCTTCAGGATGAGAACAGAAATCGTGCTCCGGCGGCGTGGCAGCAGCAGGAGGCCCCATTAGCTAAAGTGGTGCTTCAGGTTAAGAACAGTTTCAGGTTAAGAATGGACCTCCGGAACGAATTACCGTAAGTACTTAACCCAAGGTACCACTGTACAGATCTAGTAAATATTAATAACTGCCAATCCATCAGGTTGCAGCAGATGGGAAGATGGGAAGCGGGGCCACTCAATTATCTCAGCTGAGAGGCTATCTTCATTTGGCTCCACCTATCCTTGACTTGGGACGCGGGTGGCGCTGTGGGTAAAACCTCAGCGCCTAGGACTTGCCTATCGTCAGGTCGGCGGTTCGAATCCCCGCGGCGGGGTGCGCTCCCGTTGCTTGGTCCCAGCGCCTGCCAACCTAGCAGTTCGAAAGCACCCCTGGGTGCAAGTAGATAAATAGGGACTGCTTACTAGCGGGAAGGTAAACGGCGTTTCCGTGTGCTGCGCTGGCTCGCCAGATGCAGCTTGTCACGCTGGCCACGTGACCCGGAAGTGTCTGCGGACAGCGCTGGCCCCCGGCCTCTTAAGTGAGATGGGCGCACAACCTCAGAGTCAGACACGACTGGCCCGTACGGGCAGGGGTACCTTTACCTTTACCTTTATCCTTGACTTGTTTACGTTCAGGCTGGTCTTTGCAATAACTTCGTAACTTAAAAACTGGTACCCAAGTCTGCTTAATTCTCGCCACCTTTTAAACATGACACAAAAGATAGTAAACTATCTTGTGTGTTCGAGCCCTTACATAAGTGGCTCAAAGAGTTTTTTTATCTGAGGCATTATCACAGGACCCCCAACCCCTTGTTTTCAAACCATGTGCATCATGCAAACAAGTGCATATGCTTAAAAGACTGGCATAAGACACCTCCCTCCAATCCGTGATTGGTTGGGATCAGCGCAACCAACAAACGTGCTTGACACCACATCAGCAATGATAGAAGATTGATATTTTGACTCATGCGTGGATTTCTTGGGTTTTGGCATCAGCAAGTCACTTTGCAGCTGTGTCAATATTGATACATGGAAAAGCTGCACCACTCTCTTGGAAAAGACAAAAAACATACATGCCAGCCATTCTAGATCACTGCTCCAAATCCTACTGCCTCAAAAGACTGCTTCCTTTGTGACTGCTTGTAAATGTACCACTGGGTGAGCCCAACAGCAGGAAGTCAGTACTGTAATCTCAAGCATCTGTTTACTTTATCAAAACAGTTTGGAAATGTGGGGGTAGCAGAGACATAGGAAAAGCAACAAGTGTAGTTATGTGACCTATTGCTACCAGCACCAAATGACAGCTGGCCCATCCTAAGTATTCAAGAAGGAAGCATGTGGTAAATGAACACCACTTTGCAGAGGCAGTGACTATGTAATAAATTATGTTGTTGACAATGCGAGCCACCTAGCGAATGAATAAACCCAAGTGTGTTAAACCTCAATGTATTTTCTGGAAATAGCAAAGCACTAAGGAAGAACTGTTAAAATGTCATATTGGACCACAGACACTCGCGATCCAATTTCTACCCAGCCGTGAAGTTTTGATTTGGCTTTAGGCAATTCAGACTCTCTTGGCTCAGTTTCCTATGTGTTAAAATACCCGACTGGCCTATCACCACAGGATGCTGGGGAGAAGAAAATTACTCTCAAGTAGTGAATACAACCGCATAAAGTGATACAAAAATGGAAAGAAAAAAATTCCCATCCAACATTAATTCAAATTAGCTTGGACCAAAACTACTAACTATACATTGCAACACTATGGTGCAACATGACCTCCTGACAGGAAGTCTGTGATACTCACCATCAAGGAAAAGCTAAACAAAATAAAACAAAAGTAGAAAATTTGGCAAAGTACTATGTTAAAATGAGACAATGTAATTAAGCATCATTTTCATTTGTCATTGTTTTTATATACTGTAATGAAATGCATTACAGGCATAGCAAAGCTCTTCCTCATTGATTTACTTCCATGTGAATGAAAACTGTCACCATTTGAATCTTGCTCCTGCAGTATGAAGTGGTCTAATCCAGCAACACAGGTATCATATGCAACTGCTGAGATGATATTTACCAGATCCAATGAATTGGTTTTATTTTAAAAGCAAACCTTTGGATTACAGTTGCAGCCACTCTGAGATCTACAATTCTCACTCAGACTGCAATGTGCTGACTTGGGCAAAACCCAAACACCATCTTGGTAGGTATCAAACAAATGTCTCTGGGACTCCACATCATGGAAATAATATACATAACCAACAACCACACTGTGGCTAAATTGCATGGTGACTATCACAGCATCACCAGCACAAGCCCATGGAGAGGTAGAACTGGCAAAAGAAACACCTATATGTTCTGTCTGAGTCACACGATTGACTGCATGTGCTACCACAATGTTTTTGAGAGCTGCTTACATCACCAAGCTAATGTGGGAGTTGGATCTTAGCCAATGTTGTCGTTAGCTGTTATTAAAGCAGGCATCTGATGGCTTCATCCCCTACTCAGATGCAGCAAGTATCAAGTTAAAGCACATCTAAGCACAGTTTGGGGAAATGAGTCAGGAGCAGTAGCTTCCTGTTATTTATACCTTTGAAGCTAAAGAACTTTGAACCATCACTGGTGTTGACATAATCCTTGCACACCACCTCAGAAAATTGTTGGAAGTTCCTGCTCTTTTACTTTAAAAAAGATATACTTCCATACTTTCTATTGCATTAATTTTTGGACCATATGTGCATAACCATGTGGAAATCTGCAGACGCTTCACCACTCAGTCAGTTTTGCCACGTTTTCACTAAACATATGTAACACACAATTCCTGACACTGGATCAATTTGAAACAGAAGTATAGAAGAGATGCATAGTGAAGACTTTCTTTCAGGCATAACCTCATCTATCAGGCAGACCCTTTTGCCCAGGCTTACGGGCTTTGGAAATGATGGTGGGAATCCAGCCATAGCCTTGGCCAAACTGAACACCTATTCCCTTCTAAACATCCCAGTATATATTTCATAACCCGCATGCTGTTTTCTTGCAAACACATAGAAAGAGCACATTCAGACTTCCAAAGATGTTTTAATGCTATCTGCAAAAAGACTGACAGTCATGTCCCCACCTCCACCTCCACCACCTCCGCCACTGTGCTAAAACTGACACCCTCTTGAATAATGAACATGTCACTGGCAGAGCCCTGCTCCTGCACAATGATGCATTCTTTCTCCGTGTCAGAGACAGCAATCTCGATGACGTTCTTGTGCTTGGCAGAGCTCTGCTGTGCAGTAACATAGTGCCCATCATTGGTGATAAGGAGCCCTGTGTGGTTTCCAGGCCCTGCCCTGTCCACAGAGTGCACTACCAGCACAGCTGGCTGCTCTGAAGCTGGCAGCTCCTGGGGGGCTTTCGTGCCCCTTTTGGATGGATCCCTATCTAGGTTTCCTTTGTGCTCAAGTTGGTGACGTCGCAGGCTCTGGGGGAGGGCGTAGCCCATGCCACAAATTTGGCACTGGTGCGGCTTGTCAGCGTGGTGGGCTTTCTGGTGGCGTCGCAATTTTGTGGCCAGAGGATAGGATTTGGGGCACAGATGGCAGCGGAAAGGGCGCTCGCCTGTGTGCAAACGTTCGTGAGCCCGTAACGTGTGGGGATCACGCAGTGCTTTCCCACACACTGTGCACAGGTGAGCCTCACCTGTGTGGGAGATCAGGTGACGGCGCAGCTCAGGGCGCTGCGGGAAGGCATCTCCACAGAAGTGGCAGTGGTAAGGGCGCTCCCCTGTATGCAACCGAAGGTGCCCACGGAGATTGCCCTGCTGGCGGAAAGACTTGGGGCAGTAGGGGCAGGTATACGGGCGTTCCCCTGTGTGCAGCCGCATATGGTTGCGCAACGACCCAGGGTTGGCCAGCTGCCGCTCACATATCACACACTGGCAGGCGGCAGCAGCAGATGGCCTTGGCTCCTTAGCCTGGTGGGTTTTGCGATGTATCCGAAGAGAGGGCCGGCGGGCAAAGGATTTCCCACAGTCAGGGCATACAAAAGGGCGCTGGCCCGTGTGCAGCACCTGGTGTTCTTGAAGGTCCCGTTTGGTGCCGTAACTCTTGTGGCACTGTGGGCAGGGGAACGGCCGCACCCCTCGGTGGCCCAGTGTGTGCGCTTTAAAGCTTTCTTCTGAGCTATAGCTCTTGCCACACTCTGTGCACAGGAACGGTTTGTGATCAGTGTGCACAAAGTGGTGCTTCTTCAGGTGGCAAAGCTGCAGGAAGGCTTTGCCACACTCTTCACACCGGTATCGTCGCTCGTGGTCTGCCTCCTTGAGCTGTGGAGCAGCCTCCTTGTTGCTTGGAGACACTTCCTCCTGCTTGGGATTTTCACTCTGCTCCTCCGCCCTGTCCCTGGGTGTAGACATGGCACATCCACTGGGGGCTCCTTCAGCACAAGATTGCCCCCTCAACACCTCCACCTTCTCAGCCAAGTGAGTACTGGGTTGAATTGCAATGGATGGGGGCAGCTGTGAACAAATGTCAGTCGGTTTTACCTTGGATAGTGTCTCATTCACTTGCTCTGTTTGTGGATGCAGCACCCCATCCTCTTTACTTCCACCCTCCTCAACCACAGAGCAGCTCACAATGGGCTGCTTCTCTCCATGCTGCTCCTTAGAGTCCCTGAGCTCATGTTGCAGGAACCCATCTTCATTCCTTTTCTTGTGATCATTTTCCAGGCCAGGAGGTTGCTTGACTGGCAGCTCCTTATCCAGCAAAGGAAGACAATGGGCTCTGGCTTTCTGCTCCACAACCTTGGGGATATCACAAGCACCTGCAATTTGAACCAGTAACCATTAGCTCCCTTAACAAAGAAAACAAAGTAATTATTGACACTTCAAGGTGAGATTTCTGTTTCTATACACTGTTCCACTCCCCACCCACTGCCTCAATCATGCTGAACAGAGATCTTTTGCTGAGCACAGAGGCTTGAGAAGTCCCACTAGTTATCAAAGCACTGCTTCTGAGAATTGAAACATAGCTGGTTTTAGCTAGGGAACTCTGCTTGAATTTAAATATCCTAAAAGTTTAGACTTTGGGGAGGAATATTTTAGTATCTTCTGTAAGACTCACTTTGGAAACACAGCTTCCTTAATCTTTTTGATGCAAATTGGATTTCTCTGAAGTGCTTTACTACATAACTTAGAATGAGGTTACAGAAATGTGTAGAAACAGCAAATTTCAACACTCTTATCATTTGTAATCTTTGCTGTTTTCTTTAGAAAGCAAGAATTGCAAACTAAAACAGCTTATCCACACAGTCACAATACCAGGGACCTGTGTTTCTCCCTTATTTACAACAAGCAGAGTTACCTTGAGCCGTTTAATTCACCTAAGAAAATTCTTAAGGAAACAGACATGGATAGAGAATGTCACAGGGAAATGAAGTTCTGTGTGTGAGAAAACCAAGAGAGAGTAAGGAGCTTGACTGATTCCAGCATTATGGACAGGAGTTGCCCACATTATTTGTGGGTGCCCATTATTGTTAAAATGGTATAAAACTAACGTAAGCTTCTAGTGCAGACATACCCTCAGATATTTGATCAAATGTACTCTGGCATGATAAACATTCTGATTCACCATGTGCACTTCTCAAAGAAATCGCCTCCTCCAGCACTGCAATAAAATAGCAAAGCACTGTTTGCAAGGGTGGGGCTGGCCAGTGCTGTTGAGCAAAATAAAGGTCACTGGCTAGAGGAGTGGACATTGGCCTGAGTTCCACTTCTGCCTGGCTGTGAGCTGATTGAATTGTCCTGGGCAAGAATATGCTTCCACACTTGGTTCCCAATCAGCAATGCTGAAATATTCCTTATTCACAGCAAGAGAGTGTATACATTCTGAACAAGTTGCCTCCCACAGTATCATTTGAAGGAATAATAATAATAATAATAATAATAATAATAATAAATTTTATTTATATCCCGCCCTCCCCAGCCGAAGCCGGGCTCAGGGCGGCTAACAACACTAAAACAGTGCAACATTATAAAAACATTATAAAAATTAATTAAAATACAAATTGATGGCAACCATAAACTAAAGTTTTGTAAAGATTGCCAAAGGAGGGAGTCAGGCTGCGCCCTGACCAAAGGCCTGACCACAGGAACCCCTAACTTTCAAGTTAAAATATTAATATCAGTCTGAGTTTGTTCACAGACAGATGACAATTTAGGTCTGTGAAAATCAAATCATGTACTATAAACTCTTTTTGTGAAAGGAAGGACAAAACACAGGGTGCTTCAACTACAGCTGCCTGGGTGTGCAGTTTGGCAGTGGAGTTCTTTACTTAAGGAACATGGTTTCTATTACCAAGTATGTTAGGTCAATTTTTTTAAGAATAAAAACCCTTCCTGTCTCTGATGCTGCTTAAATCACCTGTGATACCCCCTTCTGACTAAGATTCTGGGAATTCAGGTACAGTACCTGCAAAGGAATCTATTGCATCGCCCTCTAGGGAAGCATCTCCTTTCTGTGTCAAAGTCTCTGCTTCCACAGTGGTGGTCTTAGCTAGCTGCTCCTCTACCGTTTTCCTCTCTGTGACAAACACCCCATCTGATATATTTGCTGGTGCATTCTTTTCCAGGCAAGCAGGACTAGCCTCTGCTATCCAGTACAGCAGTTCACTGCCAGCAGCAATGGGACAGCATACTCGGATGTGGAGCTCCGCATTGATCCATACTAATGCCACATTTGCCTCATCTTTATCCTGGCTTTGCTTCACCAAGCTGTAAAACACATGCCAAGCATCAGTATCCAATATGGGCTTTGTCCGAAGCACAGGGGCATGACAAGGCTCTAGACAGGCAGTGCAGGTGGGTTATGCGAGACTTAAGGGGGCCTCAGTCAGGTCTATCAACTACTATGTCTATAGATCCTGATGGCTTTTTTGAGCAGACTCCTAGGAAAAGTCAATTCAGAATACTTTTTCTGAAGTTACCTTTTGTTGAGACAGATTTTTTAGTCCGTCTAACTAAGGATTGTTCACATACACTGACTGGTAGTAGTTCTCCAGAGTTTTAGGCAGGAATCCTCCTTGGAGGTGCGGTGATTGAACCTTTAAACTTTCCTGAAAGCAGTTTATGAAACCATACAGGTAACAAAACACCTAGTTCAAACAAAATGGATTCTTGATAGTGGCCATGCAAGAGTACTGATTAAGGGTACAAAAGACTTGTGGCTGCTTCAACGTTTGTTATATTTAAAGTCACATATAGGACGTTTCATCAGCACAAAATTGCTGGCTCATGACTGATTGGTTAAATTGCCCTCTCCAAAGGCTAAATGAATATATTTAGCTTTACCATCCTATTTTTTAGGGAGATGAATAATTATTTAAGAGATCTTTGTTAAACTGAATAGAAATTTATTGCTAGCTGCAAAATATTGAGTTGTATTCAATTAAGTCCAGGCAGAATAGAGCCAATGAAATTAATGAGCCCAAGTGAGTCCAGTCCATTAATGTAAACATGTCTACTCAAAATAGGACTAGCACCGAATATCACTTACTGATTTTATTTATGTTTTTAAGGGTGGAATTCATCATAGAGATATTACAATCCTATCAGCAAAGGCATTTCAGTTGCTGGACAGAACAATCTCCCCTCTCTTTCCCCTGAACACTCTTCTGGGGATTCTGACATGAGAATTTGGCATGAGAGAAGGGAGGAAGTTCCAGTGCACTGGCTCTTATTAGAACACCTGCTTAGTTGAGTATGTCCCAATTTTTCTTCTCGATTTTTATGAATTTAAGTTTTTTTTCTATGTAAATGGAGTTCATTTTTTAAAAAGCAGTAATCCACTTAGTTTCCTTTCCAGAGGAAAACATGGGATGCATGTATCATAATTATTGATAAGAGGCAACTTAGATGGATTAACACAGAGGTTTTTTGACAATACAGCCTAAGAGACCAATAAGCCTGACATTTCAGCTCGCCCGAGAATTCTCTAAGGAAAACTTGACCATCCTTCAGGGAGGGTTCATGTTTCTGATTCTGCTCCAAGAAAACACAAAGCATATACTTGTTTATTTTGCATAAATGTATTACATTTGTAATATTTCTTTGCCAATATTTTAAAGGAAGTTGAACAGGATGGGAAGAAAAGTGAGATCCTGGGTATGGGCAGGGAGTACCAGTGAGGAAGGGAAAAAAGGAAACCACAAAAGGAACTGAAACTTACAGTGCATTCTATATATCAGGAGTAGCCAACATTGTACTTGGTAGGTGCTGCTGGACTCTAATGCCTACCATCCCTGATCTGGGGGGAGTTGCAGTCCAATTTTGGGAGGGATTATTCCTTTGCTTTTAGATCAGGGGTGGGGAACCTCCAGGCCGAAGACCAGATTTTGACTGCCAAGGGTTCCAGTTTGGCCCAGAAGGCAGTTCTCCGAAAATTACACCCACCTGCCCCATACATGACATCATATGTGGGGCAGGTAGAGACACAGACGCCAGTGCACATTGCATTGGGAGCCTGACTGTGCATTGGTTAGGGAAAGCAGGCTTCAGCTCTACTGCCCAGATAGGTGAGAGCCAATGCTTCCCCTAGAGTTCCCTGCAAGGAACTTTTTCATGCAGCTGATGCCTGCAAAAAGTAGGATTCAGCTCTCCTGCCCATCAGCTGACTGGTGGAAGAATGGAAGCCTGCTTGTTGCAGGAATCAGCTGCCTGCTGCATTGCTGTGGGGGGCTTATAGAGCTCCTTGCAAGCCCCGCACAGCAATCCAATTTCTGCATTCCTGCCTGTCAGAACCACATTACAGCTTCTGTGACACAAGATAACCCAAGGAGAAAGGACAGTGACGCTGCTGAGTTTCTTCCTCATTCTGTTGGTTGACCTGCCTGCCTACCCTGTAGCTGATTTCCTTCAACATTAGGGAAAAGTTGCAAGATGAGAAGAAAGACAGCACAGGAGCTGCTCAGCTCCTAGGGGTGACAGAGGAAAAGAGCAGAGCTAGTTGCTATTAAACAGGCCAGTTTCTACATCTGCAGCAAAAACATTTATTGATCACACATTGATCACACATTCTTCAGTGGCTAACATACCAGAACCTATATATATGCTCTCATAATATCACTAGTTACTTTTGGATTTACAGAGGCATACAGAGTCATCAGAAATAAATTCCAGGATTATATCTGATTTTGGCTCACTTGACTGCAAGTTGGTCCCAGCCATGGAGCAAAATTTATCATCTCATTGCTCTGTTATATTGGTTTTTGAGATGTGTGAGAATAAATTCCTTGACATCATCATATGCTGAAAATTCATCTAGCTGCTTGAAGAAACCATCAAGTGATCACTGCACTAGAAGAAGAAGAAGAAGAAGAAGAAGAAGAAGAAGAAGAAGAAGAGGAAGAAGAAGGAAGAAAAGAAGAAGAGGAGGAGTTTGGATTTGATATCCCGCCTTTCACTCCCTTTAAGGAGTCTCAAAGCGGCTAACAATCTCCTTTCCCTTCCTCCCCCACAACAAACACTCTGTGAGGTGAGTGGGGCTGAGAGACTTCAAAGAAGTGTGACTGGCCCAAGGTCACCCAGCAGCTGCATGTGGAGGAGTGGAGACGCGAACCCGGTTCCCCAGATTACGAGACTACCGCTTTTAACCACTACACCACACTACAGTATGTGATAACAAACACTGAGCTTGTGGTGCAGCCACAAGCTTTTCAACAGAAATGGTCCCATGCTGGTTGCCGGAAAAAGGTTAAGTGCTGTTGGTGAGATAAATACTAAAGTCTGATTCTCACAACTTACATAATTTTCAGCCTGACTCAAGCAGGATTGATAGTAAAACATCTATGTGGTTTACACACAAGTTAAAAAACGGTTTGCGTGAATTGACCCTAACTTGTTCATTATGGTTTGAATGATCGTAGCCAACAAACCACTTCATTAGATGTATGAAGTTTGCTGAGAAAGTTGTAAAGCAGAACGCAAGTTACCCACAGAGTTTTGCTGTTCTCACCTTTTCCAGCTTGCTATCCTGTTGCAAGCAGAAGTCTCTTTCCAGCAAGCTGGTGGAAGTTCCTGAAACATGAGAGGAAGGGGAGTCCCAGTTAGAGAGGTACTTTAATTCCCACAGGCAGATCTTAAGCCCAGAACTAATGGGCTAGCTGTCCTTTTCACCTGAGGGTCAATTCAACAATCAAGCTGGCATATTAAGAATGAGTGTCGTGGCCTATGCCCTCAAGGCCAACATACATATAATGTAGGCAATAGGCTGTTAGGTCTTCCAATGTCTTTTTATTTACTTGCAAGCAGCTATGCACCCTCACCTGGATCACAGACTTCACACTGTTTCCTCTGTTGAAATTACCATCCTAAATTTAAATGCACAGCTCACATCCTCTAGCAGCTGTGTGTTCAGTACTGTGGGCCCAATTTTATGGAACTCCCTTCTATTTGAGGTCAGACAATCTTCCTCCCTGTTGAACACTGGGTGCCTACTGAAGAGTTTTTATTCTGGCAGACATTTAAATAAAATTGACTGATTTATGGTTTCAACTGATTTTTATCTTTATTGTATTGCACTATTGTACATCATTTAAGAGACTACTGTAATTAAGCAATACATAAATTGTCAAAATAAAAATAAATGAATGAGCTGTTGTTTGCCCTACAGGAGGTGGGGAGGAAGTCAGGTAATGTCATGGGCCCCTCGGTCCTATCTGGATTGGGCACCTGGAGGTGGAGGGTGTGGGTCTTCTCCATACAACTTTAGATGTCAGAAAAGGGGAAACAAAGCTACATCCTCTTAGCTCTTGTCACCGCTCCTCTTGACAGGTGCAGATAATCATTACGGAGGGAGGACGACTCTGACTAGCCAGTGGGAGGAGCTGAGCAAGAGCAGCTCGAGAGAGAGGGGCAGGACAGTCTTGTGGCCACAAACCTGGCACCACTTTTGTAGGTGGGATCAGCTGCATCTGCCCCAGAGAAGCACACGTATGTGTGCGCAGCAGGCTAGTGAGGCAAGAGAGTCTCGTGAGTGAGCATACTCCACCTAGTCTTTTGAAAACTTGGTGGGAGGGGTGTGACAACCATTGGGACATCTTCTAGCATCATTCATATAATCAAGAATTGTAGAGCTGGAAGGGAACTCGAGGGCCATCTAGTCCACCTCTCTGCAATGCAGGAATCTTTTGCCCAGTGTGGGGCTCGAACCCACAACCCTGAGATTAAGAGTCTCGTGCTCTACCAACTGTTATTCAGCTCTAAATCACTTATCTTGCTCTTGTAACTTGAACTCTTTACGACTGAACCTGTGCTTGCTGCTAGCCTGAGTAAAGATCGCTTCCTTACTCTGAAGTAAGCACTGTGTGATTTTAATCATGGAATTAAGGGGAAAGAGTTAATCATCTTCCCTAAGCACTGCTTCACCATCCCATTATCCTCCCTCTGCAGTATGTTTTTTAAGCTATTAAAAAAAGAATCCCAAGATACAGTGATTGCTACTATATCACATACAGTTCAGCCCTCAGATCTACAGTAACAATTATTGGTAACTACTGTAATTCAACACATGTTCAACTGAGTTGTCAGAAATGGGATGAGCTTATTATTTGTAATACTACTACTACTACTACTACTTGTAAAGTCACTTTGGGGAAATATAGCCATGTGGTGAACTGTTTGCCTATAGAGCTTCAGCAGCTACAAACTATCCCCTCATTTTCATTCAGTTGTAGTAAATAGTTGCCTCGCTAGATGGCCTGATACTACAGATGACCAACTCTCCCTACACAGCTGCGGTCACTCAGCAGTGACCTTTTAAGCAGCTGGGAGTAGTGCACAGTAGTGGCTAGACTATGTAGGAGACCAAATGTTAAAACTGCTCAGATAATAATAGAGGAGTAAGTGGCCTTGAGCAACAATAACTTTCAATGCTCCTTCACAGAATTGTTGAGTGGATAAAAATGTGTCTGACTGTAAGTTGTCTTGAGTACTTACTAGTAAAGTGGAATATAAACTAAGCAGACATCATGCCACATTCAGTCAGTTTCAACCCATGCAATGAGCAGGGGTATGCCAAGTGAGGGCTGAGTTGTGTGCATGATGGAACAGATACATGACTGCTTCATGAGGGAGACAAACTTCACCTTTGAAGCACATTCTCAATGGGACAACTAAGTAACATGAAGTGACTACAGTTCAGACTTCTATAGACAGAAAGAGGAAACTGTGGCACAAGAGCTAGATATGTGTGCAATTACCTTCTAACATGAAAAACCTTGCTAGTTTGGACAAAAGGTCCCTCTAGCTCAGCATTCTGACAAGTCTGGTATGAGGGCAATAGCCCACTCTGTCATGGTATTCAGTGGCATTCGGCTGCCGAAACACTGTGGCTAATAACCATTGGTATTTATTCCCTATGAACTTTTTAAATAATCTTTTAATGTCATCTAAGCTAGTGGTCCCCATATAGTGTGACAATGAATTCTGCATATTAATTTTGAGCTGTGTAAGTTCAGTACTTCCTTTTCTATCCCGTTTTGTTAGCTTACTGGGAAGCTCTAGCATCATGAGAGAGGGGGAAATGCCTTCTATCCCCTTTCTCCCACCCATGCGCAGGTGTCAAGATACCAGAAACCGATCAAAGCTATTTTTTGGCCGCCCAAAAGTGACTAGATAACACTAAGACCAGGACAGTTGCACTTTGAAGAGAGAAATTGGGCAAGCAAGCTGCTTTCTTAACCGGTGGATAGAACAAGCAGCGTCTGCCAGAATCCCTTCTCCCGGCAACCGAGAAGGGTAGGGCGTCTAGATGTGGTCGGCCGGGCAGGGGGTCGCGAGAGGGCGCCCCCACCGGCCTGAGGGCTCTGACTGGAGGCCCAAACTTGCCCGCCCATCGCTCACCGCCGGGCAGGCGCCCGCCTCCTGCTCCTCTTCCTCCGGACCAAGCAGGAGCAGCAGCGCCCCCGGCTGCAAGGGGCTCCCCACACACCACACCCCAAGGCCCCTCTCGGCGGACAGGGAAGGGCCCAGGGCTAAGCCCCGCGGAAGGCTCCACACTGGGCAGCAGGACCAGCCGCCGCGCGCGTCCGGGGGCCGACCTGAAAGGGAAGCAGAGACACGAAAGGGACGGTGAGAGCAGTCAAGGACGCGGGGCGGCAAACGCTCTCCGCTCCCTCCCGTCTCCCGAAAGACACCCGCTCGCCCTCACTCTGGCCGGGGCTCTGCTCCATAACGGCTCCTGGGCGGAACGTTCCGCGCAGCGCGCCGTGTTTGCGCCCGGACGGCTTTTCCCTTTCTCTCGCCGGCCTTTCCCCGAGGAGGCGGGAGCGTGTTGCCACGGAGACTCGTCCTTTTTCCGGTTCGGAGGCGGATGTTTGTGAAAGGGGGGTTTGACAGGCGGGAGTGGCGGCTGCTGGCGAGCGGAGGAGCGCTCAGGGAGCGCGCAGCGCAGGAACTCCGTACTGGGCGCGCGTCGTCGGGGCTGCATCTCTTCCCTTCCCCCCACCGCGCACACCTTCATGAGATAAACAGTGAGTGGAGGCCCAGGCGCCGCTTCGAGGGCGGGGCTCCTTCTGGGTTTATTCTCTTGCTTATTGGGGGTGGGGGGAAGCGGGGGCTGGGGACGAAGTTGAGGGAGGGCGCATGCGTCGACTCCAGCCTCAGCGTGACTTTCGGTGGGAAGGAGGGAGGTCTCTTGTCAAGCGGGGGCCGCTGCCAGGCTTCTGGGCTGGGCTTCTGTCTCGACCCTCCCACCATCTCCGTGGGTGTCGTCGTTCTCAGGGCTGCCAGGTTCAGATCTATGTCAGATTTTGGAAGACGCCCCCCCGTTCCCTCAGCAACCCAAGGGGCCCCCATGCCTTTGTTGTTAAGGTGCCCCCTCCCCCGCCCCCGCCCTCGGTCCTTTCCTGGAGATCTTTTTTGGTGCTGGAGGTGGAGGTGCCTACACTGGGGAGGCTTATAGGAGTGTGCGCGTGCATGCAGGTGCTTAAAGGCGGCGGGGGTGGGGAGAGATGGGAAACGTTCGTTTACGTTAAAGTGAACTGATTTTAGGACCCAAACCCTTGCCACCTGTGCACACTTTTTTTGGGGGGGGGTACTTGCAATTTGGGAAATACTTGCAACTGAGTTAAGGGGTAGTAAAGTCAAGTGGTGTGGGTTGCTTAAAAGCAAACATATAAAGACTTTCCTGCTGCAAAAATAGTGCCAGAACTCCCCATTTCTGTTGAATGGGGCTTGTCACAGAGTAGTGTTGGATGACTGCGTGTTGGCCTCCTGTCCGTTACGCAGAAGGGTGCTGGAGTGAATTGTGATGTCTCCACTGCCATCTGTACGAAGGTGTTGGGTTCACTAGGGATCCCATTTGTCCCATGGAGTTAAGCGTATGCTGATCGTACTCCATTTCTCTGTTACACCTGAATCAAGTGTGACTGTGGAAGCCCTGGATGAGTATGTGGTATGCACAGGAAGTGGGGATGAATCCTGTTAAGACCAAGGCCCTGTAAGTGACTAGCTCTGTGCATGGATTTTTTCTGGACCAGGGTTCTACTCCCTCTGCTGGAACTGGAATGTCATATGGGGGTGCTCCTTGATCATTCTTTGTTTCTGGGGAAACAAATGACATCAGTGGCTAAGGGTTACTTTTGCCACCTTGTACTCTTGCACTAGCTGTGACCATTCTTGGACCAGTGCAGCCAAGCTACAGTGACCCATGCATTGGTAAGCTCAAGACTGCATTATGGCAGTTTGGTCCATGTGGGACTGGCCTTAAGGCTGGTTTGGAAGCTGCAGCATATAACATCTGTGTTGAGGGACTTGTGCTGCTGAGCAAAGTTGAAGGTTTCATTATACCTACATATTCCTAAACTTAAGGGGAAAAAGTTTGAGAGACTGCCTTCTCACATATAGATGTGTCTGTTTGCTAAGGTCTTCAGAGAAGGCCCTATCACTTATGCTGTGGCCCACAGAGACTTACCTCATGTTAAGCTGGAAGAGGGCCTTCCCCTTTTTGGCCTCCAGCCTGTGAGATGTACCTACTGTGGTGAGCTTTCATCTGCTGTTAAAAACACAGCTACCTTATTTGAGGCTTCCCTGGCCTCTGATACAATGACGTGTTTGTGTTATGTTTCTTTTATCGGACTGTTTCTATTGTATATAGAATTGCTTTGTTACACTGAATTATTTTGTTGCACTCCATCTTGATATTTTAAAGAGGTGGTATGTAACTATTTTAATTTAAACTTTCAAAGTTTCTGGAGCCCTTTTGGGGTTTTAATCTGGTAATTCTAAAGGTATGCTTTGCTAGTTTCGATAAATCATCTCACAGAAACTGCTTTATCCTGCTTTTATCAGGATTCTTACATCATGCTTCTGTGGTAAATGTAACCCCACAAATACTTGAGTCTACTGCATAAGGCTTTGTGGCCCATCACAAGATTGTCACTAGGGCTTTGTGGTTTACGTATTTGAGCTGGAAAGAAAGGGGGAGTTGTATAGTTCTGTAAAGGAGAAAGAGTGGGAAGTGTGGGATGTGGTAGGGGCTCAGTAAAACTAGAGAGGTGTGATAGCACTTGTTTAAGGAGAAATCATTATTTATTGTGTTTTGGTTCATGCATGTCCATAAACAGAGCATTGAACTAGGATGAAGCCACTTATCAGATTATTATGTCTGACTTATGAAGAGCATTCTGAAGAAGGAAATATGACAGGAATGCCCACTTTCATGACAAATTTTTGCTTTGAGATAATGAGTGAAAGAAATTAGAGGGATTATATAGCCTGCTTGGAAGTCTTTGATGTTCAGCTGTTCCTGCTGAACAAAAGCAGTCAAATTTAAAGTTCTTTGGTTTAAATGAAATGTTTGAGATTATTCTATGCATCTATGTTTTCATGTCCTTTGAGCTTGCAGTAAAAACCTTAAAGTAAATAGACAGAATTATCCTGGAAGCAGGGTAAGTATGTGCGTTAAACATGTGGCACAATTCTTCCCCATCCCCCACCCCATGATTGAATTTGTGTAACATTTCCAGAGTCTCAGTGTAAGCTCAGCAGCTGGAAAAGGTTGGCTGAGGCAGGGCTGAGTAGTCAGGTTTATGATCTGACCGGAAAGGTGTGGTGTCTTTTTAGTTCTGTCACCTAACTCAGTTCTGGGAGTTCAGCAGATTGCGTTGTTCAGTGAGTGTATCCTGTTTGATTTAAGCTGGTAGCTTCTGAGGGGAGAGAGGATCTGAGGGAGGGACTACCTTGGCTTAACTCTTCTGCTCCCTCCCCTTGAGGCTGACAACAGTGTTGGCTAGGTAAACATAATGGCTGCCTTTCTTTACCGTACTAAAATATGGATAAAATTAAGTGGATTTCACAATCAATGCAGCACTGGAGGCCCAAACAGCTGTAGTGGACACTTCTATATTGAGTCAGCAGGGTTGTTGATAATATGAAAGAAATAGGGTGTGATGTTCCCATGACCTAAAAGCAGGAATCTTAACTCACCAGCTGTTAAAACTATGATTAGTTGAAAACCTCTCTTGCAGTTAATGTCTTCAAGAGATCCCTTTTCCAGTTATCATTTAAGGAAATTTGGTTTATGGAAGTATGGAACAAGTTGTTATAACACTGCATCTATGGAATAGTTTCCCTGTGGAGATTTGCTGTACAGCAACACATAAATGAGGGTCAGAGTAGGTTTAAATGGTGGTGTGACTGATGCTTTTAGAATGTTGCGAGGAGTGAAGCAATGTTGCATCATGGCTCCCACTCCTTTTAGCATTTATATGAATGATTTGGTGCCGTATTGAGCCAATTCAAATGCCCCTCTCCAGTAAGGAACAATCTCAATCTTGATGTATGCAGATGATTTAGTGCTGCTCTCTCATTGCCGATTGGGTGTCAAAAAGCTCCTGGAGGTGTTCAGCTCATACAATAAATTGGGAAGCCTATCCATAAAACACTCTAAGACCAAGATTATGTTTTTTGGCAAACACAGTCCTAGGCAGTGCTATTTAGAAAAAGAGGTGCCAGAACTCACTATGAACACCTCCCTTGTTCTTATAATGACAATGATGCCCACCTGAAAGGTGTGGGACCAAGTTCTGGTGAATTCAGTGCCCTGGTTCTAGGTATAAATGGTGCTTAGATCAGAAAGCTACAGAACACACTTGCTCATTTAGATACCATACCTGGGCCTACTCTTTAGTGAAACCCTCTTTTGGAAGTGCCATATGGAGACAGTGAAAGCCAAAGCACAAAAAACCATAGCGGCATTGATGAAGTTCTGTTACAATAAGGGAGGGAAACTGATTGAACCTGCCGTAAAAATATTTGGTAACAAACCACTTATTCAAATCCTTTTTGTAGCATTGAAATATGTGGCTTTGATTCAACTCCATTAATGTTTTGGAAATTGCGCAGAATGTCCCCCCCCCCCAAAGCTATACTCTCTACAAACAGGAATATCAGCAGCTCGTCCTCATAAAGAACCAGTTAAGGCAAGAGTGGGTATTTAAAGTATATTTTTAAAAATACTACTATGCCTGTTGAGAGTTTTCCTGTACTGTGCTGTATGGAATTGGGTGAAAACCAACTCTGGAAAGCAGCTTGTCAAGAAGTTTTAGATCATTATTGTTTTCTAGAACTGAGCTCTGCTTTGACCTTGAATAAGTGTCAACTAAGGGATTGGCTCTGCTGGATAGAATCCAGAAAGGACCTGCAGCTAATTAGAAATACCACATTCTCTCCCCACACCCCCCGGTATCCACTCTTGATAACTATTTCAGTGAAGCATAGATTGGAAAAAGCCTACTGCTAAATAATACAACAAATGAATGGCCATGGTATATGAAGCTTAGGGTGCTTCAAATGTAACACCAACCATAATTTGGTGTTATGAGAACGTAGTATCATTTTCAGGCAAATAGAAATAATGGTTTTCCAGTTTGGATGAAAAAGCAAGCCAGCTAAGTTTCAGTCCTGATTTTCAGTAATCAGTTACTGATTTTCAGGAATCAGTAATGTACAAGGGGAGGAGAATGTGCAAGTCAAAGGCTCCTCAGGCATTCTTACATTCCTGAATGTAAACCCATGGTTGAATAACCCATTAAAGTTGTTCAGATCTCAGTGATATTTGTCACATGGGGCAAAAATGAAGTAGAAACACAAAGTCTATATGGCAAGGCTGTGGAATTTTCAACACAATATTCAGCAGTCAGATTCAACCATAATCTAAAGTCCTTTAACATCTCATGCCTCAGGAATGGTGAGCCTGTGACCTTTCAGACGTTGTTGGACTCTAACCTTCATCTTATCCAGCCAGCATTGTCAATGATCAGGGATGATAGGAACTGTAATCCTACAACCGAAGGGTCACAGGTTCACCATTCCTAGAGCATGGGATGTTAAAGGAGTCTAGATCAGTTCCACTGTGCCTCCAGATGTTTTTGGCCTACAACTCCCATCATCCCTGACTAGCAAGACCAGTGGCAAGGGATGATGGGAATTGTAGGCCAAAAACAGCTGGAGGCACAAGGTTGGGAAACACTGGTCTAGATTATGGTTGAGTCTGAACGCTGAATATTGTGAGTAGGTGGAGTCTTGCGCAACTCTTTTATTTTGCTGACTTTTGTGTAAAAGCATTTAGATCTGGATCAGATTTTTAAATGAATAGGCATATTTAGCTACAACACAACCTGACACTAGGGAAAATGAGATTTCAAAAAATATTTTCACTGTGTCTGCCTCCAAATGGAGAACAGACCTAGCTAAAAGGTCCAGAGTAAGAGGAGTTATTTCATAATATGATAGGAATAATTAAGATATGCTTAACTCTCTGCTAGAAGTAGGATCAGTCTCCACTGGACACTCAAGTTTTTTAGGTGGTATGAAATTTGTCTATAGTGTTTGGTCTGTGGTGGTCATTTCAGTAAGCTTCTCAGTCGAGTGATACCAACCTTTTTTTTGGACCTGTGGGTACACATAAATTGGATAAACTGCTGAGAGTGCCACACACCTCATCCAAATGCACACCACATGTTCTGTTAGCTACAATCGGAGTCCTTTTTTAAAGCTTAACTTAGCAGGGTAAGGTGCTCCAGGGAAGGCTTCTGTAGGTGTATGTGCACACCCAGGAACCACATTGGTGATCCCAGTTCTAATTCATCAAGTGAGGAAAATGTATATGTAAATTCGTCCATAAAGCTGTATAAACAAATACCACATGAGTTTTGTCCACCAGAATCCCAAATACCCAGTACTCCAAATTCTTTCCCATCCACTAGTTTGGCAATGTCTACATTCAACAAGCAGTTTTCCATGTTCAGCAAGAGTCTTCTTTCTGTACATGGGATGTAAAAATAATAAATTCTCCTGCTAAAAAGAATATCAGTAGCATATCTGCCTCATAGAGCTCATAACTTATTCTTAAGTGCTTTGCTAGTGCAGATCAGGCAAAACTGTAGCCCCCCAACACTGCAGTGATCCAGTTGTGCACCACAAGTTGAGATTATTCAGAATCCCTTGGTAGAAGAAAGCTTGAGGCTGTCTGCATCCTGCTGCCAGGGTAGGGTTTTTTTTGGACAATTTCAGATAACTGTGAGAGTAAGTTGCTGGAACTAGAGTTGTTTCAAAACGAATGAGTCACGGCAAATGCTGGTTAGAGTTTCCATAGAAACTGGATATATTGCTAAGGGCAGATGGTTGACTGCAATTTAAGCATGGTTACAGCATTAGCTAATAGCTGAGAGGAGCAAAGTGTCTTGCTCTTTACCCCCACTGAGGTCAAGCATCTCCTCCAGCCTGGAGAGACTAGCAAAGAATAGCTGAGGCTGACTTTGCTGATCTGCTGTGCCCTGAATACTTCCTGATCTGCCTTGAAGATCATCTGCCCATATATGTCGTTGTTTTGTCTGGTTACAGGAATGCGATTTGACTTGCTGCGCAATAAGCTTACAGCCATCTGGAAAATAAGGACAATGAAATAATTGTGTAAGCATTGAAGGAGGAGGGAAGAGGTCTTGTGCAAATCGCAGCTCCCTTTAACACTCAGAATTTGGACAAACACTGGTGAATTTTTTGGGAAATGTCCAGAGATTCCCTTAACGAAGCATGAGTGACATTCATTTGACCTTCTCTGACCATATATTTATTGAAATGCTAATATTGATCTCTGATCTTAGCTGTAGCATTAGCTTTGGTCACAGTAACTTAACTTCTGTTTGAGGGCTGATGTTTTAGACCGGTTGTTTTCGGAGGCACTTTCTGTTTCTTCTTGTTTCATGATAGAACTGTGTTCATGTCCTACCTCTTGAGAACAATGATTAACCTTTCTAGTGATCTCGTATATGCGGTTATTTATTGACCAGTGGTGTGCCTCCTTTGGTGGTGACTCTAATCAGGAGTCCATTAATGTTTTAGTGAACATCCAAAATTCCGAAACTGTTGTCTTTCTCAAGCTAAGAATGACATTTCTTCGTGGAGAAGGTTCAAAAGTACTAGGAACTGAATTCTTCTCCAACTCCAGAACTCTTTGGCTGCTTTTTCAACATGCGCCACTCAAGGACAACCTGTCTATTGTTGAATTTGCCCCCTCACAGTTCTGCTTGTAGCACTGTGAAGAATCCTCATGTGTGTCTCTGTTGTTGGTTTGATAGGCCAGTGGAGGAAGGAGTATTTGGGCACCCTTCCAGTGCACCACCTTGCTGTGCAAGCTGTTTGGCTATATGCCAACTCTGCCAATGGAGCGCAGGAAATGGGAACCTTTAGAATCAATGCGTCAGGCAGGGGGTTGGTGTAATCTGTTGCATTTCCCTGCCGTTTTGGCTTGTATGCTACAAACAGAAAGCAACCAGGCCGTATTTGCACAGGAGGGGGAAATGGATGGAGTACAGCCAGTGGTGTTCCCCTAGCCAACCCCCTCTCACCTTTGATATGAGGAAAGGTTCTTCTGGACAAGACATCTGTGAAAATATATAAAGGAGCAGCTTTGGGAGATGATATTGAAGATTGCTATGTATTTGCTTGCTTGATCTGTGAATCCCTGTGCTCTTCCTTCTGGGGTTTTTAGGAGAGCAATTAAAGCTTGGAAAACATGGAGCAATACCCAGATCTACAGGAAGACCTGAGTTTGGAGGATACCAATGAATCCCTTAATCAGCTCAAATTGGCCTCTCTAGATGATAAGAACTGGCCACCAGATGAAGTGCCTGTTTTTCCTAAGTCAGGTGAGTACTTTTACTTGCAATGAAGTGACTAGAAAGGAATCTATATTCTGCAGCACTAATCTTAAAATATACCTTTAATAGCTTTTTATTTATTAGATTTATTTATATCCAGGCTTTCAGGATAGGCAGCATCCAAATGATATCAAAATAGTTAATAACATAATAAATAAGTGGAAAAATAACAAGATTCAGGGTTCAGCAGGTACTTTTTGTGTTATATTCTTGCATGATAGTTGTATACAGTATAGCCCTGTGGGGGCAAGGGTAGTCTAGTGGAGCACACTCTGAGGTCTTTGCCTGTCTGCGTCTCTTTCCTCTTTAAGATGCTGCAGAAGTATCTAAACTGGGATGTAGATCTTATCTAAATGGGGTGGTGAGAGCATGGAATGCTACAGATCTTATATGCCAGAGAAGTATCTGTCTCCCTCTGCAGTGTAAATAGTTTATTCTAGTGGATGAATGTGGAATTCTGTAGTGAAGAATTTTAGATCATTGATTACTTTCCACTAATAGTGTGTTTATACATTTGAGGCAAATATTGACAAATAAGCTAGCACAATTGGTCTGAATGCTTGCAATGTTTTGTATTGAACATAAAATGAACAATTGCACAAAACTAATGCTATTCATCAGAGCTCCTTCTGGTTGCTTGATATACCTGATCCCTTCTCTGTGTTTTTGTATCTTCATATAGCTGTGCTGGTTTTTATGTTCTCTGCATTTTCCTTACCCCATCCCCTTTATTTTAAAATGTAGATGACTTCAAGGGCTCCCCTGACCCTGTCACTCACTTACGATGGGATGACCCATACTACGACATTGCTAGACACCAGATTGTGGAAGTGGCAGGTAATGGGTTCTTTTCATTTCTTTGTCTTCTATTTCAGAAAGCATTTTGATACAGCATAATGACTTGGGATATAGGGTCTATTTTATTGTTTTGCTGTTTTGTTTTATTTATGTTTGTGTTTTTATCCTGTATTTTATTCTGCGAACTGCCCTGAGATCTTATGATGAAGGGCAGTATATAAATAAATAAAATAATAAAATAAAATAAACCAGCAGTGGCCCAATAATAGGTTGGATCCCATGTTGTCCTTTAGTGAATGATAGGATTCCTTCTGTTTGTAGAAGGAGCCAAGATCCAGCAGAGGCTCCTGCTGGAGGAAGGAAGCAGGGAGAAGCTGTTTTTGCCTGTTCCCTTTGCAGGTCACGACACAACTGTCCATGCTGTCCTGGAGGATTCTTTGACTCGTTGGTGCAGTTCTGCCCATGGGTAGTCTGGATCCAGCCAAATAGCTTGATTCACATAGTGGTCATCGTCATTGTGAAAATAGCAATTGTACAGAGGAAGAGAACTTTGAGATCCATGGGCCCATTAGAGTTATTTGATAGTCACTTGAAGCAGCAATCTGACCCCAAACTTACAAACTACTTTTTGAACTCCTGAGTCAGATGTTGCATTGGCTGATAGTACCATGAGTTACTGAGGTTTGGTTGGCTGGGGTCTGGAGAAGGGCCTTTTCTATTGTAGCATCTGCTCGATGGGATGCATTCCAGGGTGGATGGGTTCCAAAAGTGGGATGTTTCCACCAACTGTTGAAGACCTGTCTCTTTCCCCTGGCATTTCCTGACAATGTCACCAGTTTTTGTTGTTCCAGTTACTGTGGTTATTGCAATAATGTTTTTACTTGATTTTAATTGTTTGTTTTTCTTGATTTTAATGGATTTTTGTATTGTGAACTGCATCAATATTTATGCTACTGAAAAGTATCACATAAGCTTTGAGAATACATTCTGATAAATAGTGACTATAGCATACTGGACTTAGAAGAGTTCAAATCCATGCTCTGCCATGAAGTCTACTAGATGACCTTGGGTCATTCATTGGCTTGTATCCGACTGAGTCATACTCAGAATAATTTAATTCCACTGATTGCAGTGTGTCCACTGTCAGTATTACATCATCAGATAGAACCCATTATCCCTCATCCTGGCCTACCACATAGAGTTGTTATGAGAATAAATAGCAGGAAGGGAGGACCATGAACATGTACTGTACCTCACTTTGAGTTCTTTGGAGAGAAGAAGGTGGGAGAAAAATAGTACAGTATGTGCAAACCTGAAAACTCATTCTCCCGAAGAAAAACTCTTTTAACTTGTTTGCAGGCTAGAAGAGACTCTGCATGTGTGCCTCTAATTTTCCTGAGCCATGGCAAATCCCTCAACTGTCTGAACAAATCAGTTCACTTTAGGTGATTGTCAATTCACACTTGGGTCCAGAGCATCAGTGGGCAACCTGTGAACTTCCCTATGTTGCTGGACTCCAGTCCCAACCACAATTGCCAATGGTAATGGAATATGAGAAATGTAATCCAGTATCACCTGGAACGCCACAGGTTCCCCACTTCTCCTGTGGAGCATCCTGGAGTGTGGAATTGTGCCACAGCTGCAAGGAAGGAGTTAAATCTTAAAATTTTTTTTTTAAAAAAACTTATTGATAAATGCAATACTTACACACACAAAACAGAACGCTAAACAAACTTATTATACATAGATACATACACCTCTCAATTTAGATTACAAAAAAGAAAACAAACAAAACATACAAACATAAATCTTGACTTCCCTCCACCTATGTGTGGCTTCCTTTATTTCTTTTTGCTATGTTATAACTATTATTTTTGACTATCTCATATTATACCCATTTCTTCTTAATTTTTTACTCTATAAGTTTCATTCATTGCATATTGATATATTAATACCAGAACAATGTTTTTTGATGTATTCCTTCACGCAAGTCCACTCCTCTATCAGTTTTTGGTCTGATTGGCCTCTTACCACTGCTGTAAGTCTTGCTGAATTTATATATTCACAAAATCTTATTTGCCATTCTCTTATTGAGGGAGTTTTTTCTCCCTTCCAATTTTTTGCTATAATCATTCTGGCTGCAGCGGTTGCATATAAGAAAACATTTTTCCTAGTGGCAGGAATGTCAGTCGATATAATTCCCAAGAGGAATGCCTCTGGGGTTTTTTTACATGATTATTTTAAGCATTTTTTAAAGGTCCTCTTGAATGTCACTCCATTTTTTTTAATATACACACACTCCCACCACATATGATATATTGTTCCTATTTCTGTTTTATATCTCCAGCACAAATTAGATTTTGATTTATAAATTTTCGCTAATTTGACCGCGGTTAAATACCACTGATACATCATTTTCATTATATTTCCTCTGATTGTGACACAGGCTTTGAATTTGATATCATATTTCCATAATTTCTCCCATTGATCTAAACAAATCATGTGGCCTATATCTCTGGCCCACTTAATCATAACTTCCTTCACCTCTTCATCTTTTAATTCCTATTCTAATAATAGATTATACATTTTAGATAATATCTTTTTAGGATTTTTTAATAACTCTGTTTGTAGTTTTGATTCTTCTTTGCCAAATCTGATAATCTTATCCTGCCTGAATAGGTGATCAATTTGATAATATTGTAGCCATGTATTACAATATTGGCCATGTTCTTCATAAGATCTTAACCTTAATTGGCCTTGATCTTCTTTTACTAATTGCTGATATGTGACCCATTTGCCTTCTGTATTTTTCTTTTTTCTTTTTTCCTTACGTTTCACTGACATTCCTGCGTTTTCCCGTATGGCTGCTTCACTTACATTGTCTGCAGTTCAGTTACTGATTTTAGCAAACTTGGTTTCCTGCAAAGAGGAAATTTGCTGTGTAAATGATTGCTGGCAGATTGCTGGCAGTGCTGTTCAGAAACTGGAGGCAGGAATAAATGCTGGGAGTTTATTTATCACCAGGTTTTGCTATTGACCATTATGCCAGGTATTGCAACAGTACATCCTCTTGACTATACAGACCATTATTTCTTATGCACATTGATAGCTATTGCCAACCAGTGCAATATAGAAGTGAAGACTGGTTAATTTATAGCAAGCAATTGATCGTTAGAAAAGGGAAGAAATTGAAATGGCAAATGATCTGGAAGAAGTAGGAGCTGTGCTTAGCTTTTACTTACGCTTTTACTTACATTTTACTAACATCTGCCTGGAGTTCATCTCCTCCCTTCTTGGTAGCGATGTTTGTTTTGGGCTCTAAAATTACTGAATTCTCTGGAGTTTCTCTACTCCAGACATTCTGGCTGCTCAAGATAGTTCAAGGAATGGTTATTTCCTCTGAGACAAAACACATCTTAACAGTTTTTGAATTTAGTTTTGATTTTCAGTGTGTGACCTGAGAAGTCCTCAGGATGGGATAGTTCTCTCCTCCCATTGCAGATACATTGGGGATATCTTTCTATTCCCTGGGATGCTGAATTGACATTAAACAATTGAATCAAACAAAGATCCCCAGTGTTAAGTGACTAGATGAGTTCAAACAAGATATTTTCTGATACGCATTGTATTCAAATATATAATAATAGCTCTATTGCTGACATCCCAGGATTTCAGCCAATTGAATGAGCTTCATTAACATCATGCCCAGCTCTGGCAGTATTGCACAGTCATATACTTTCATAAATAAAGAATTCCCTAACAACTGACATATCCTTTTCCACTATTGATAACATTAGTTATTTCTTTGTTCGTATGTATGTATTTTGAAGTGCTTTCCCCTGTAGGACTATGTATTACTGAAGATTCATTTCACTTAATATTTTTTTAACTGGCAACCACATGCCTTAGATTCCTCTAACATCTATCACCCAGAGCGCTAGCACTGTGTTGGCTTCTGACATATTGAATGATGGAAAAAATCTCTTCACTGTGGGCTCCCTTAGCTCTCAACATGGTTCTGTGAATTTTCAGTGCTAAGGCTTGTGGGTGGAGTTGCAGTGTGAGTGAAGAGCAAGCTGGAATTTAACTAATAGCTATATTTCTTTAAAATGTGTATTGCATAGATGCATTTCTAGCACCACTAGTATATTCAATATTTAGAGAATCATCTCAGAAAGTAAAAGCTTTGAATACACATAAATGTGTAGGCTCTGTATTACTATACTTACAATAGAGGCACATTGGCAAGGGTTGTGCGGGATTGTATATCCTGCCATAGCCTCCATTTACTGAAATTCCCTGTTCAGAGTTCTTGTCCTAATTAGGAAAGGTTAATTTGTCCACCTTTTGCCAAAAAAATAAAATAAAAAAGCACAACTAAACAAAATGACTGCAAATAAATAGTTTGACTAGATGCTGTATCTGTTAGCAGCTATCAATGTCTTGAAGGCATTTCAAGGCTGATTTTGTTTCTTCTATCCCCAGGTGACAACCTGAACCACTGCTGCTACTGATTGATAGCTTGCACAATGGAAGCAGGAGGCTCTTTTTAATCCTCTAACCTGTGCCCTTTCAGATGTTGTTTGACTCCCACCACAGCCAACAATGCCTGTGGTCACAAATGATGGGAGTTGTAGTTGTAGCTAAATATTAGGCTAGTCTAGGTAGATATGCAACTTCCTTGTTGAACTAGGGATGGTTGTCTGAGGCAGAGACGCAACCTGAAAACCTGAACTTTGGGGAAATGTGGTCATTTCTGATACCAGGCAGTGTTGTAACTTTGGTTTCAAAGACAATGGAAATGCCATGTCCTTATCCCAAGTGATCATCCAGATTACACGCCATAGGCTAATCTGAATTTAACCTTTGGGATGCCTAGCTTTTATTACTGTGGGCTTGGGGCCCTTGATTTGCCTTGACACTTCTGGGGTTCTCTGGAGTCTAGAAGTATGAAAGTTGCTGGAATAGCTTGTGATGGGGAGCATTGATTAGTAAATTTTTTGGTTTCCTTTCTTTGTTTGATTCTGCTTTAGGCTGAA